CTTACACTGAGCAGATATGACAATGGGCTTCGTCAGACTCTTCCTTCATAATCTGTGCTGAAAGCCATCATCATCGCTTCCTTACCCACCTCACTTTATCCTGTAAAACATCTGCTTCTTTAAAGAGAAGTTGCCTACTAGCTCTTCTAGAAATTGAAAATCATGATTTTCTTTTCGGGAGGAGGGAGGATGGGAACAAAACATGCCTTTTGTGATTTCACCGAAAACCACTGCTAATTAAATTAAAACCATATATTGAACATGGGTAGAGAGCAAAAAGGGCAGGTAGCAAATGGGAACATCTTGGACAAAACCATGCTCCTCTGTGAATTCCGATTAGCAATGCTATGTTATTGGCTAACTGTTGAACATTCTGTTCTATTTGAAACAGCTGGGACAGCAAAGAAGTTTGTTGTCTTACAGAAACCCAGTTAGGCCTGACGAAAGGAGCTGTGGAATGCTTCTGTTGTGTATACAACATTGTGTCTGATTCAGCACTGAACTGAAGTCTCCCTATATATTTGTAGATCAGGCTCCGTCCAGTTAACTTAGGAAGCTCCATACAACATTACATTATGATCTCAGCAATTGTTGACACTGGTCCTGCTGAAAATCTTGATGCGTTTCTAGAAACCTGATCCTTTTGAGCCTGGTGATGGCCATTGGAGTAAACAGCGGGCGATGAGTCTCCTGGATTGAAAGGGAATCCGACTTGCACACTTTCTACTCTACCTCCAATCCCCCACCAGCAGCAGTGCAGTCGTATTGGATGTCTCACTGCCTTCTGACATCAGCGAAAACATGAGCAAAGCCAGCTGCCAACACGGTTCTGCTGTTCCAACAGCTATTTGTCTGTCAACAGTAATACAGTCAGGGTTCTACGACTGTAATGCTAACAGTGATTTTTTTCCAAACAGATGAGGATAAAACACTTCCGTGTACCTTGTCATCATGAGCCTCTTTTCAAAAGACTTTAGAGCATCTTTCTTCTCTGGACTTCCACTGCTGTTTATTGGGATCAACTTAAAGAAAAACTTTTTTGGCTGTGCTGGGCCTGAAGGCAGCCCTCTGGCTTTCTCTAGTTGCGGTGTAGAGTGGAGCCCTGGCTCTAGAGTGCATGGGTTCAGTAGTTGTGGTGTGAGGGCCTATCTCCCTCGTGGCTAGTGGGATCTTAGTTCCCCTACCAGGGATCGAACCTGTATCCCCTGCATTGGAAGGTGGATTCTTAACTACTGGCTCATCAGGGAAGTCCCTTAATGGGGTCATCTTTACAGCATTTATCTCTTTCTCCTTTGTACTACAGTTATCTGAATTCCCAAGGATTGGTAATAATTTTTCTTATTAAAACGCCATCATTCTCTCCACCTTCCAGCACTGCATCTTGTGCACAGTGGAAACTCAGTATATGTTTGCTGGCTGTTGTATTCAGCAACAACAGACTTGAAGATCTTACCTTAAGAACAGAAGCTCTCAAAGGCAGAGATCTTTGTTTTGTTCACTGATGTGATTCCCATGCACCTAGAAAGTTCCTGGCACATAGCTGAAACTCAACAAATATTTGTTGAATGAATGGATAGTATTAGGACTTTACAAAGAGCTTGCACAGTATGTATTTGACTGATAAATGAAGAGAAGAGAACATTCTACATAACATGTAGAGGAAGTAAGCATAGCTTGGTAAAAGTCTCCTTTCTCTAGACCAGGAGTTGGCAAAATTTTCCCAAAGAGGCCCTGATGATAAATATACAAGGCTTTGCAGGCCATACAGCTTCTGGAGCAACCACTCAGCTCTGCCACTGAGCATGAGAGCTACCACAGACAACACATGAATATGTGAACGAGGCGGTTTCCCAAGGAAACTTTACTTGCAAAAGCAGTCAGCAGGCAAGATTTGGCCCATGGCTGGTAGTCTGCAAAACTGTGCTTAAAACAACTGTATAGAAATTATCTGTAAGGATTAAGATGACAAATAGCTATTCTCTTCTTGAAGACCTGCCTTCTGTATGTTCATACGTGCTGCCAACCCCATCTCCAACAGGTAACGCACTGCTTTGGCAATATAGTCTGTACAGAGTTTGAGCAAACTCTGGGAGATAGTGAAGGACAAGGAAGCCTGGCATGCTGCAATCCATGCGGTTGCAAAGAGTTGGACATAACTGAGTGACAACAACAACAAATCAGAGGCAGCTTCTCTGATTATCCAGGAAGCAAAGAAATTAACAATTAAAATCACTGCCCATATGAATATTTCTTTTGAAGTTGCCCCCTTTCATTCTTAATAACTTATTTTTATAAAAAGCATATAAGCAAATGACCATTGGTATCTATGATTCGCAAAAATGTGCTCTCACATTTTTGTCAATAATGACTACAAAAAATGTGATAGTCTCATGAGTTTTGCATTAGATCACTGCATTATTTCAGGCCAGACATCTGCTACACAGGATAATAATCTACATATTCATCACTGAAATGGATCAACATTTAAAAATGTTTAAGTAGTATTAATGTGGAATAATGTTATCATACAATGTGCTTTGTGGCTCTTTCCTGTATTTGTACTGCCTATTTGCAAAATTTTCAAACTTATTTCTCATTTTGATAAGTGTTGGCCTCACAAAACCAGGCTTGATTTCCTCTTCAGCTGCAAATGTAATTTTAAAGAGAACTCCAATGAGATTACTTGCTGAACATGTTAAACATTCATAGCTTTGCCATATGCTGTTATAGAAATTGCACTGATTTATAGCAATTTGGGTGCCACTAGATAGCATTAAATCACCTGATACTGAGTCTAACTGTATTGGGAAACAAAGTCTTAAATGTTTCATCTGCTTTTAGACCTCTATTGAACTAAGAGGCATATATTGTGTTCCTGTACTTTTGGAGAAAACAGACTTTTATTTATTAAAGATATTGTCCTACATTTGGTGACTTCTAAAAAAAATGAAGGGATAGCAGATCCAAATTGACACTATAATAGCCTGGTGGTCAAGGATATAGGTTCTTGTAGCCAGGCAGATTTAGGTTTTAACTACGATTCAACCACTTAATCGCTCTATAACCTGGTTTTCTTCCGTGGTTAAAAAAAAAAAAAAGAGGGTTACTGTGAGGATTAAATGAGATCAGGCACATAAAGCATAAGACACATACAAAAAGAGCAATTTCATGCAGTTTGTTCTAATATGTGCTCTATAATGAGTAGTTATTATTATTAGCTATTGTTGTCTAAGTCTTGTTCTTCTGCTTAAGTCAGTGGCATTCTAAGTGGCGGAGAAATGCTTAAGTATATGAGACCTGATGAGAATATTGGAAGACAATTTAGTGAACTTAAAATTTGCCATATGAGACAACAAGGTCGCTGCTATAGTCAATAATACCAATATAAAGAACAAAGCACAAAGTCACAGGCCACCCTCTTCGCAGTAAGGGCATAAATAACACGACATATTGTGTTAAGTTTCTGTTTGGGATGGGGGAAGTAAGGAGCTCATTTTAGGCATGCCAGGGAGGGCTTATGTAAATGAATACTGTCTTTACATCCACTGAGCATTCTGTCCAACTACATTCAGAGGAGGGAAGAAGCACCTTAAAAATAATTACACTTGGCTGAAGTAAGTGAATATATACAGTGTAATGAATATGCATACATATTGAACTTTGTAAGAATATAAAAGCTGAAACTTCCACTTTATTTTCTAACTTGACTTGGAGGGTACTATAGATGGATCCTCTCTAGCTCAGTTCTCAGTGAGAGGGAGAGGACAGCTCTGCCCTCCAGGGGATGCCTAGCAACATCCAGAGACACTTTTGGATGCCACAATTTGGGATGGGGAATGCGACTGATACCCAGCGAGTAGATTCTTAGGGACGCTGCTTAACATCCTACAATGCCTAGGACAGCCTCTGCAACAAAGAATTACCTGGCATACACATCACTAATGCTGGGGCTAAGAAGTTCAACTCTAGGCTGACAACTGTTAAAGGTCAAGTGAGTTTCAAGTCACCCATAACCCACATGGCTCTTTGACAGCTTCTAGGGAATGGTAGGCTTTTTGTAATTTAAGTCAAATCTTCCTAGTCTCTTATATGGTCCCCCACTAATGAATCACAGACAGAAGTAGTAATATGGAGCTCTTATCCTCATGAAATGACTGGCTATAAACACTGATCCTAGGAAATACTACATGCTATTTCACCTACTGAGAATATTAGCCCAGAGAGAGGAATAGTCAGACTTACACAGTGAGGAGGGTGGCCGTCCACACTAAGCCACTGACCGATCAAGAGGCCAAGGGTTTCCTGGCTCAGGATTTCTTATTGTTGTTTAGTCACTAAATCGTGTCCAACTCTTTGCGACACCATGGATTGTAGCTGACCAGGCTCCTTTACCGGTGGGATTTCCCAGGCAAGAATATTGGAGCAGGCTGTGATTTCCTTCTCCAGAGGATCTTCCCAACCCAGGGATCGAACCCACATGTCCTTCATTAGCAGGCAGATTCTTTTCCCCTGAGCCATCTTGGAAGCCCACCAGGATTTCCTAAGCGGCATCAATTCCCATAGACAAACACCATGTTAAGCAACAATGAAAGTGAGGGTGAAAGAAAGTGAAAGTCACTCAGTCATGTCCTACTCTTTGCGACCCCATGGACTATATAGTCCATGGAATTCTCTAGACCAGAACACTGGAGTGGGTAGCCGTTCCCTTCTCCAGGGGATCTTCCCAATCCAGGGATCGAACCCAGGTCTTCCGCATTGCAGGCAGATTCTTTACCAGCTGAGCCACAACAGCTGGTAAAGATTAGTTCTCAGATAAAAAGTTATATACACGATCCCTGAATTTTTATTTTCTACTTCTACAAAACTGAAGATCTATCTGCTACATCAAGACATTTCTTTCATAAGTACCCTTATGCAAATGCTGCGGGGCCTGCTCAGAAAACTGTGGCCATAACCGTGGGTAACACCTAGAATCTGAAAATGTATATAAAGGACATTACTTTGAAGCTTTGGATTCTGTGCTTGGGGTCATCCCGGCACTGCTGAAGAGACTCTCTGTGAACTCGGTATTTCGAATATCTTTCATCAATTCTGTCGGATAAACTGCGGGAACCCTGCAAAAACACGAAAGGGTCTAAATTGGCAGATGAAAGAGAAATCAGAGCTTGAAATTAAGCTGAGAAAGTTTTGATATCTAGATAATAAATCATTATAGGCATTTAGAGAGATATACAGAGGAATCATAGGTTCCCAAGGATAAGGAAAAAGATGGTCACTTTAGATGCTACCATTAAAAATAAAAATAGAGTCCCACAAAAGTTATTGGCATTTTTTTTCCCACTGGTAGTTCCCATGCCAATCTGAAACGACTGACATCCTTTAGGTGAAGGGAAAAATTTAAAGTAAGAGGGTTGTTTGAAGATGGTATTTAATGACACCATGCCACTTTTGGATGGTGTATACTGTCCCTTAGAATTGCACTCAGCAAAAAAAAAAAAAAAAATTCTCTTTCTTCAACACATTACCTTTTAACTATTATTTCATGTAGATTTTTAAATGTAAGGATAGCTCATCTTGGGACTTCCTTGGTGGTCCAGTGGTTAAGACTTTGCTTTCCAATGCAGGGGGTATGGGTTCGATTCCTGATTGGGGAACTCAGATCCCATATGCTTCAGGGCCAAAAGATCAGCACCGTAAAATGGAAGCAATCTTATAACAAATTCAATAAAGACTTTAAAAATGGTCCACATCAAAAATATCTTATAGGAAAAAAAAAAAAAGGAATAGCTCATCTGCCCTCAAAAGCATGTAAAGATTCTGATAATAAATTAAGACAAAAAATTACCAGGGTCTGCCTACCTTCCTATTTTTCCTTCTTTCTGGGGAGAGAGGATAGAACACAGCAAACAGTCACCGCAGCCTGTTACTTAGACATTTCTCTTTTTTTTTTTTTTGGCTGCATTGCAGGGCATATCAGATCTTAGTTCCCCAACCAGGGATCTAAACTGGGCAACTCCTGCATTGGAAACCTGGAGTCTTAACCACTGGACTGCCAGGGAAGTCCCCTATGTAGACCCTTCTAGTATGAATTAGGGAGAAATTAAACAGATTTAGGGCAACTGATTTTCATATATAAGAAAAATGATCTATGGAATTTAGTTCCCCAAATAATTTTTTGAATGTTCAGACAAGAAGGGGTATTAGAATTCCAAAGTTATCATTTTTATTTTTTAAAAAAATTTACAGCCTAGGTAAGTTAAGAATGTCCTGTCCAAGGCTAGGCAATTTGTGGCAGAGTGACCTTGGAACCCAAAGCTGTTCCCTCTCCTCCATATCAAATATGTAATATTTAAATGTAGGATTGTGGTGCTGAACCATTCCTTTCTAAATAAGGATTTAAAAAAAAAATGAAGTGGGGTGGGGAGGAAGGGGCAGAGAGAAAGAGAGAGACAGAGACCATGACACTTAAATAAGAATAAAGTCAAGATCATCTAAGATGATATTTGCATTCACATTTAGTTGTCAGAGACTACAGTATTGTTCAAAAACATGTGAAATGCATTTTCACATATATGCTAGTGATGCCAGTGTGAGCAGGAACAACAGAGATAATACTGTTCAAATCTCTCATCTTATGGATGAGGAAATAAGTTCTAAGATATTAAGTGATTTTGTCTGGGGCAGGAGCATGAACCAGAACTTAGGTCTTTCAACTTGTTAACTGCATACAAAATTTTAGAAAGTTTTAAGGATTTGAAAAATATAATCTACATCTAATAATCTAAAGGCTTTATATATTTTTATTTAAGGCAATGTTTTCATTAATTGATTACATGACCTCTTTTTATCATATAGATGGCTCTAGAGTACATATGGAAGGGGTTTCAGGCTAGAGGTGGTAGGCAAAACAGATGGGCTTTCCTATAAATATGCAGAATTATATCATAGTTTTATATAATCTACACACTCTAAGCTTCAGTCTCCTGAGTAGTAAAATGAGGGAAAATAATGCCAATCTATTATGTGTCTCTGAGGATTTGAAGAAATATAAAATGCTTAGCTTTTGCCTGCTATATATAGTGTGTTAATTCTTGCTATTGAATTTCTTTCCATTTTAAAGGTAGACACTTCCATTTGAATGACTAAAAGTACAATTCTAAATTTTGAAAAACATTCTGTCTCTAAAAATCTCACCACAGAGGCATCTTCCTATGTGAGTGTGCATACACATAAGCTAGATTTGTAGATAATTAATAGCCCATATGATGAAAAACAATTAAGAAATTTGGCAATAGTAGAGAACAATTTTTACATTGTACTTGTGAACATTCTGTTTAATATAGACCACTGAGGAAAAATGAGCTGTTACCGGAGGTTACATTTTACATTTTTATACTGGTAAAGACAGGCATCAGTTTCTCAGGTGACAAATGCCACCTGTTTCTAAAACCTTCTCTCTTGCCTGCCCTTCATTCACTTTGATAAGTTCTATTATCTAAAGAGAAAAAAGTGGAAAGGACATGGGTGTAACATATTGTCTCCTTTCTGCACTGGGTCATATAAGGGTGAACAGAAATAATATCTTCTTGTACATTTTTCATAATTCTTTGATAGGGACTGAGATTTAGACTGCAAATATAAAATCAAATCATGAAAAAGAATTGAAACTTTAATAAAGTATACTAGAAATGCTTGGTTTTATTCTGTACATGATATTCAAGATTTCCATAAGTGTCAGCTCAACCTTAGATCCCACTCAAAAATGTTCAGTTACTGAACTAGCAAAATACACAGTGAAATTTTAAAATAGTGTAGACCTTGAAAGATGAATCGCATTAATATCTTCAAGAAATCAATATGGCATGATCTGCCTTATATTTCTTATTCACTATATTCTCAAATATGTTAGAGATAAGCAGAACCTAAATATAAGCAATCTTTTAAAGCCAATGTGAAATGAACAGGTAAATGTTTTTCAGAAAGAGACTCTCTCACCTTTGTTTGTTCATACAGGGTAAAAAGACCACAGCTCATTAAAACTGTCCACTACACATGCATCCCTAAGGGAACACGTGAGGATGCTGTCTGAGCTGCACCTCGTTTGGCATGACTGGGTGGCAGGGTTATTTGCTTTGCCTCTCTCCTCTATGAGCAACTTAAAAAAAACTGTAGTAGGTAAATCCACATATGTAATTAACTGGCTTCATAACGAAATCCTTTATGGGTAGAGTTCTATCGATAAATAGCATTTGATACAAATATAAAATTCTATGTGGATTTGAACTCATATATTGTCATATAGGGATAACTGTGTACTACTGTATCTCTAAGACAAACAGTACTCTGGAAATTTAATGATTTAATAAAAGAAGATAATTCACAAATGAAAATTGTTCATCAAAAAGTTATATATCACCAATGCACTGTGATATAATTTTAATTCTCATGTTTTTCTAAATTATAATTAAAGCTTTAGGGGGCCAAATGAGCTTCTGGTAATAGGGTAAAAGTCTCTATTTTCCTTTATTGTGCTAATATATAAATTCCACTATTTTCAATCCTGGCTTCACAAATGTCAATAAACTCAGATAAGATTGAGAGCTAAGAGTCTCCAAGCTCTTTGGTTTTTCCTCCCTCCCTACAATTTTCTTTGCACATCAGGAAGATGTCACTTGTTCTCACTCAGATAACAATACTGAAAGGGACAAGCCAACTCTTTCTCACTCGGAAGCCTTTGAAATCTTCTAGCAGGCTCAGCTTCTCAGGCACAGACTCCAGATGGTCCAAAGCCACTCGGGTACTCTAGAAAAGAAGGCAAGCAAACATTATAAAAAATTGATCAATACTCTCAGAATCCAACTACTAAAACTCAGTTGTACCACGGGTATAAGCAGTTCAAGCTGTAGATTGAGAGAGTCAACTGAGAAGAAATAGTTTTTCTAAGATAAATATAAAAGTTTTAAAGGAGTATATGAGATGCATTTGCAAACTGCCTCAGATACAAAGCTCTTCCTAGATAACTGCTTTCAATTGATACACTATGAAACTTTCTATAGAGAATTTAATATTAATTCACAAACCTGCTTCACTGCACATCAGAAGTAAATCACAAGGTAATAATGAGAAACAGATAAATTTGCATTTACTTATCTACAGAGCACATTAGAGATCCTTACATGCTGCCATTGTAAAGAAGAAAAGAGCTCTCAACAACTATTTGAGTTAAAAAGGAAAAGTGCAGTTCTCAAAAGACTTGGAAGAAATATCCGAAATTAAATATTCTGCAACAGGGACAAAAGGTCCTGTTGATTACAAATCAATAACTTCTACAGTCTTTGATTAGCTAGTCCTGATTTATACATACCAATATAAGCACTAAGAGGGAATGACCTGAAACTTATTTCAAAGCCAATATTGAATTAAGAGGTCAAATGTAGAATAACCTTGAGACCAGAGACTGTACCATACACACCTCTGTATTCTAACTCCTGTCACAGGGCAGGCACATAGATAGCTTTTACACTCAAAACAAATTGCAAATATTCAGTGAAATTAAAAGCAAGCCCCACGGCTGCAGCATGGGAAGGAAGGGGCCTGCAAGACCCTGCACACAGATTTCTCACAGAGCTGTTGAGAAGTTAGTGACCACCCGATGTTCTGAGTGTTCCTCCACATCTCCCACATGAATGGACCTGCACCAGACTGTGAGTGGAGGTGACAAGTGTCCCTTCTGGACCGAGAGAGAGTTGAGTATGTGTGCTCCCTCTTCCAGCCTAGATCCTGCCATGAGGACCCCGGAGACCACGTGTTCCAGAGGGCAGGACTACAAGCCAGAGAGCCGCTCACTGTATTGGAACGTAATGGGAATGAAAAAGCAACTTGCACAGTGTTAAGCTGTAAGATTTCATGGTTTGTTAGTTACCAATGCATAGCACAGAATTTATTGCAAAAATACCTGAGACTTATATAATCAAACTGTAGGCTAATCAAGTGGTCAGATGGCTTTTTTCTTTTTAACTATATTATATGTATATGAGAGCTTTTTTCTCAGGGGGAGTTCATTTCTTTTCGGAACTAGACAGGGTTAGGAACTGGGGTTCTCTTTTACTTCCTCTTCGTGTCCCTGTCTCACACTGATGCTGTTCTCTGCCTTCACTTCTGATTCAGAGCTTCTCCAGAGTATAACCTATGGCTTCCTGCAAGGTGTGTGGAGAGGCACAGATGGAGACAGTTTGGAGGTTCTAACTCTTCCTTGAAGACACTTCCAATGTTCTTATTTCCACTTTTTCCTTCTGCAATAAAAAAGTACCACCAGCTCAAAAATCTTTCTGAAATTTTACAGGCTGAATAAAATTTGCCTTCCAAAGCTCTCCCTTTGACAGGCATGTTAAGTCATTTTACCCTCTTTATTGTTATGAGTCATTTTGCCTTATCTTCTTTGACTTGGAGTTATAGATGTCTTCTAGTTATCAGTGTGTAAACCACTGTTTCTGTTTCTTCATATTTGCATTTCTCTAATGTGATTTTTGAGAGAAGAGTGGAAACATCCTTACTTCCGCTTTTTTGAAATTGTTAAGTTGTAAATGCTGTTTTGTCACTTTCATAACTTTTCAAGTTCTACTAAAACTTCCTTTCCAAGTTCCACTTAAAGGACTTCAGTATTTTGTTCCTCCCCTTAACTTGTACTATTGTTAGTCTTTTTGCAGCAATGTGCTCAATTTAAACTGCCATGCATTTTAAATGGCTTCATTTAATGTTTTCATGTGTAGGACAGATTCATCAAGCCGACATGTTTCTTCGACTCACAGACAATAGAGAACAGACTCGTGCTTGCCAAGGGAGGGTGTGGGAAGGGATGGACTGTAAGTCTGAAGTTAGTAGATGCAAACTATTACATATAGAATTCATAAACAACAAGGCCCTACTGGACAGCACAGAGAACTCTTCAATATCCTGAGATAAACCATAATAGAAAGAATATAAAAAAGACTATATATATATTTATAGCTGAGTCACAGTATGTTGGACAGAAATTAACAGCATTGCTAATGAACTATATTTCAATTAAAAAAATGACATGTTTCTTAGCATAGTCCCTCATGTGTAGATTTAGGAGAACTAGTAGTTTTAGCCACCACATACGCTACATTCATTTAAATAGTAAAATTATAGCTTTCCTCAAGAATTATATTGGTCCTTGAATAGTAAAATACAAATCAATGCCATGGTGATTTTAAAGCAGAATTTTATGCACTGGATAAACTCTTCTTCATAAACTATAGCTTCAGTACAACTTGCTGTTTAAAAACTTCATTTTCATTTTTTCATCTCATAATTTTTCTCATTTAAAAGTGACCCTCTAAACTTGGGTTAAATATTAATATGTTAAACTCATTGTGATTTTAAAATAAGCAAATAATCTTTTCCCTACTGTAAAACCAGTAGGTTATATAAATACTTTTGCTTAGAATTTTCAATCAACCAAGTGATGTATGAAGAGGGTTTTTTTGTTGCATGTTTACACATACTAGTTTATTTTGACTATTTGATTATGTTTGGGGGTACTTATTCAAATGGTGACTTTTTTTGAGTAAACCTTCAATCTTAAAAAAATTGCTTGGCTCCTTCTTACATAATTTTTCTACTTCTCTCCCCAACCTCCTGTGTCTCAGTTAACATCTTCATACTTTCTCTTTTTCAGTTGTGATTATTTTATATTCCATTTATGGGTTGTTTTGCAATATCTCGTTCAATATCAGAAATATTTTCTGGTACACATGTCTTTCTCTCTATCCTTATATTCTAGTCAATCGATTAACGCCAAATGTATTACTAGGTAACAGAAAAATTCCTAAGATGTAGACAGCACACTTTCTGTTCTGCAGGAACTTTTAATTTACTGGAGGGAGAATATGCATATGCAAAAGATGTAAGAATTAAACAAAGAAAAAAGCTAACTGCATTTATTTTAAGGACATTACATGTATAGATGCTGAGATTTTTAAGGCATCTGCAACAATAAGATCTGAAGTAATGAGGATAATGAGACCAGGTCTGCAGACATCTCAGGTCTCATAATTTTATGACTCAGTGGCGTTGGGGGAGTACATTTATTTTTTGTCCTTCTCTCTCTAGGCATGTAAGTGTGCTTAAACCTACCGCTTTCAAATATAGACTTAAGAGTATGCACATTCACGTCTGAACTCTATTTTTTGTTTTGTTTTTTAATGTGAGGTTGGCTGGGATGCTGTGATTAGGGTCTTGTCACATTACATGGCATTTCAAGTTTACTTTCCCCCCAAATCTAACTGTGCTAGAGAGACAAGAAGAGATAGCAGATGGGAAGTCTAAACAGGGTTTGTTGGATTTTAGAGATACCATGAGGACCTATAGCATGCTTGCTCTTAGGGCAAAACACCTCCTGGAGAGTCAGGGAAACTTTTTATCTTTTAAGTTAGTTAATTATTTCTGCCTTACATAGTTGAATGCTTTAAAGGGCACAGATAAGTCTTCTCCGGTAGGATTAAGGAAACAACTTCTCAAGTTTTAATAATGGCACTAGCATTTGCCATTGGTGCTTAACCTGTCTTTAATTTCCTGAAACCAATTTCCCAGAAAAACTAAATCAGACATTCACAGAGGGGTTTAAAGATTATTTCTCTTTTGCAAATGTGACAAGATACTAAATTTCATATCAAATTTGAAAACAAACAGAAATTCACAACTAAGACTCCATTTCGTAAAGATCAATACAACACAAGGAATATAGTATGTGGTTTATCTCAGAGGCTTAAGAAGCTGGACTTCCACTGGCCTAGGAAGCAAATGATCAATTATACCTAATTCTATGACTTAACTATATAAATGTAATTCAATTTTGAATACAATTCTTAATCCTCACACCATTATATAATGTAGATACTAATGTTATCCCCATTTTGCAGGTGAGGCAACCGAGGAGTAAAGTGTAAATAACCCTACAGTCACTCACATGGTGGCAAAATTGGTATGTAAACCCAAGTAGTCTTATTTTCACGGTAAATCACCAATAGAAAAGGAGAGCAACCCGAAGCTGTAACAGTATGTGCTTTATGTAAATTCCTAATCCCTTGCTAGCCATCAACTCTTAGCAGCTAGAATTTTGAAGATATGTCCTTGGCAAACTTGAAACCAGGAAGAATTTCATTTTGCCAGTTCTGAAGCGTCTGTGCTTAAGACCATGCATCCAATACATACACACACAGGGGTCAGGATATTCTCTCTGTTGATTAAAGGACATTAGGTATGAGATTGAGTTTTATGATACTAACATTTCCTTTTCTTTTTCGTAACATTTAACACTAGTATAACACACAAGCTGCCCACAAGAGATGTTTTAATAAATGCTGGCCTCCTGAAGACAAAGGCAGAGTTACCATGTTCTAATCAACCTACTGAATCCTGGCCTCTACATTAAAAACCTAGAAGCAAAAGTCTGCTGTTTCATTTATTTTCTCTAGACCAAGGATAAGATCCAGTGGTAGAAACAACAGTGAAATTCAGAAATCCTGTCTGTTAGGTCTTCTGGCTTTTGCACCTATAGGCATGTTTAGATATCTGTTGGAAAGTGCCATGAATCAACTGGCAATTGTACTATTCCAAAACCTTCAACACACACCAAACTGCTATGGAGCTCAACAGTTCATACTGGTGCACAGAATATTTTTCTTTAGGCGTTCCTCTGCTTCAGACTTCAGCGTAATTCAGGATAATACAGTGTGACAACATAAGTAGCAGTTATTAGGAACTAGAAAGGCGCTTCA